CCAGATGCTGAACAGAGACCTGAAGGTGGATGTGAGGAATCCTGACCTGTACGTGCTCCACGCCTCCTTCTACGAATGCTTTGGGCAGGTATGGCCGTGGAGGCTGGGCATGCGCTGGGAAGCACCAGGTTCTGAGGGTACCTGGCCTCCCTGTGCAGCTGGCCTTGTGTCACCAGGACATCTGAAGGGCCCTGGAGCTGGAGCCGCAGCACAGAAAAGCCCAGGCCCTGAGGCAGAGGCTGCTGAGACGAGGCCAGGAGGCCAAGGTCGAGGCGGTGTCCGAGACCCTGTGCAGGGACCTGCGTGGGGCCCTGCTCAAGATCAGCTTCGCCATCAAGAGTGACCTCTCGGCCGCTGAATTCTTCACCCTCGGTGAGAGTGTCACCACGGCTGGTCGGCTGCAGCGGCCTCCGAGCTCTCCTGTTTCTGTCCCTGTGTCACAGGGGGGCCCTCCTCCAATGGCTCAAGGACTTCAGTGCAGCCTGTGAGGACTTAGCCAGGGTGAGGGAGCTGGGTACCCCGGGGGGCCCGGAGGCCCAGGAGGCTCGGCAGCAGCTGGCGCTCACCTACGACTGTGCTGTGCACTGCTACACCCTGGGCCGATTTGATGAGGCTGTAATGCTCCTTGGCAAGGCTCTGCGGGACGAGAGGAGGGAGAAGGGGCTCTATGTCAACAGACGAGGCAAGTAGCTGGGCTGGGGATCGCAGTGGGGTCCCTGGGGTGAGGGCTGGGGAGTCAGACAGCAGCGTCTGACTCGGGCATTGACTGTGTGCAGGGGAAGGTCCTGCACTGGGGTCCTGCGTTAGGGAGTGGTGACTGAAATGGGCAGCGGGGCCCCTGGGTTCCCCCTGGGTCCTGACCCCGGTTCACAGCTGTGCCTGCCTGGACTGTTTCAGCCATGGGGAGAGGTACCAGGAGCCGGGATTTACCACGGTGGTTTGGCTCCCTCCCTGCGTGGCCTGTCCTGGGGGCATGGCTGGGAACAGCTGCTCTTTTCCAGACCGGGCTGTGTGTCCTGCCTGGCGGAGCTCAGAGCTTTTGGCTAATGACGCTGAAATCTTTGTG